TTCTCATATTGTTAACAGACTTGGGATTTGAATTATTTTTAGCTCTGTCATTTGCTTGGGATAAACCAGAAAGCGATACAGGTCTAATGAAATTACCTCCTAGAAAACCCGTTACTGCTACTTCAATAGAACGTATACGTCGCCGTGCTCTTAATCGAACTCCAACTATCACCGATCCGGAAACTGGTCATTCTGTAACTCCTTCAAAAGTTTCACAAATTTTGCATACAATGAAAAAACCTTTTACAAAAACATGGTGGTCTGATTTATTAGAGGGTTCTGAAGGTGAAGTGTTGGTTGATGCAAAGCTTCTCAGATGGTCATACTTGGAAATTGGCGTTATAGAATTAATTGGCGCATTGGTTGCATATTTCGTAGTTTTAAATTATCATGGTATCACTCCACGTGATGCACGAATAATGCAACATGGAGTAACTGAAGGAAAATATTTCACAGATAACGCAATACCTTATACAAATGTTCATAATACCGTGATACCGAGAGATGTGCAAATTAAAGCATTGGCTGAAGCACAATCAATTGTATATTTGTCCATCATGATTCAACAGATGTTCAATCTATTCGCTTGCAAAGCTCGATTTCGGTTCCCATTTGGTAAATTTATCTTCTCAAATCCTCGTAATTTCCTTGGGCTAACTTTTGGTGTCGTATTGGGCATGTGCGTTGTTTATATCCCACCATTTAACATTGCATTTCAAACGAGTTATACACTTAGTCCAATATTCTGGTTAATACCTTTGGGATTTGGTATTGTAATCTTGATTTATGCTACTATTAAAATAATTTTATTGAGGAAATTGCGTCCTATAAATTTGAATCCAGAAATTATAGGATTACAAATGCATCCTACCATACGATCCGTTGAAAGAAAAACCTAAGATTAGATAATAATATAATCCTTTAATTGTTAGACAATTTCGAATTAATTAGATACAATTATTATATTGTTGAAATTTAATTTTATTTCAAATTTTTTATAACAAAATTATAATGTAACTACTTACTACCTTTATGAAATAAATAATAAATTTTTCGATTTTAATAATATAAATAATTTTTTCTTTATTATTTGATAAAATTCTAATTTAACAAGGGATAGTAATTCTCGTTCAAGTTAAAGCAAAATTTCATTAGAATTAATAAAATTACGCAAACATTTTAATATGAAATAAAAATAATAATAATAATAATAATGTATTTATTTTTAGAAATGTGAAAAGAATACGACGAAGAGATTGGTCTGATTTGGTCTGAAATCGGAAGCTATAAGTTATTTTTACAATAAATACCCTTTTATTGGTTGATTACTTGACTAATCACAAATTTCTTATAAAAAACTATCGCAATAAAATAAAATTCCAAAAGCCATCATGACAAATAATAAAGTTAATAAATTATTTAAAAGCATTTGCGATGAACAATTGAGGGACCAGATTCGTCGTATTCTTGTTTACTAATCCACATTTGTTGGAAAGTAGAAAGCTAACGTATATATTTTTATATATATAATTATGCATTAATATATATAATGTTAAATAACATAAAATGTGCACTAAAAGAATACATACCGAAGCTAAGATAGACCCTCCAATCCAGACAGAATATTTTCGTTCTGGGGGGGCGACAATCTATAAAGTATTGTTTAGTTTTTGTAAAAAAAATTTTAGTATTTTAAAACAATATTTTCAAAATAAAAGGTTCTTTATAATTTTTATAAATACCTTGATTTTCATGCCTAAATTTAATATATTGGTGAAATTATTAATTTTAGATAAAATAAAACGTATTTTAAAAATGCTTGAAAAAAGAAAAAAATAACTTACTAGAAGGTGCCAACGCCGTAATTTCCTTCTGCATACGATCTGCAATTCCTGCATACATAGTAGTACCTCTACAAAATTTTAAATAAAAAATCAAAAAGTTAAAAACTTGTATCTGACAAAAGAGAATGCATAAGTACATACACCATATAAAACTAAACTTACCCAGAAAGGACAATGTTACCGTAAAGATCTTTACGAATATCAACATCGCATTTCATAATAGAATTGTATGTAGTTTCGTGAATACCAGCGGCTTCAAGACCCAAGAACGAAGGCTGGAAAAGAGCCTCGGGAGCACGGAAACTAAAGTTAGAAAGCACAGGTATATTAAAATATGTATAAAATAAAAACATTTTTGATTACGTATGATTCATAATATTTTTTAAACGCTAATTAAAGTAAAAATACAAACCGTTCGTTACCAATAGTAATGACTTGTCCATCAGGCAATTCATATGACTTCTCCAAAGATGACGATTGGGCAGCGGTTTGCATTTCTTGTTCGAAATCTAAAGCAACGTAACAGAGTTTTTCTTTGATATCACGAACAATTTCACGTTCAGCGGTGGTAGAGAATGAATAACCCCTTTCCATTAAAATAATCATCAGGTAATTGGTTAAATCACGACCAGCCAAATCTAGTCGAAGAATGGCGTGAGGGAGAGCATAGCCTTCGTAGATTGGAACAGTATGGGTGACACCATCACCGGAATCAAGGACAATACCAGTAGTACGACCAGACGCATACAATGAAAGGACAGCCTATGGAATAGACAAAGTATATATTTTAAATATAACTATCTTTCTTAAATTGGAAAATGCAATACAAAAAAAAATTGCTTTAATTGATAACCGACTTGAATTGCAACATAGAAAGCAGGTGCATTAAAAGTTTCAAACATAATTTGTGTCATTTTTTCACGATTTGATTTGGGATTAAGAGGTGCCTCAGTCAATAGCACGGGATGTTCTTCAGGAGCAACACGAAGTTCATTGTAAAACGTATGATGCCAGATTTTTTCCATGTCATCCCAATTCGTTACGATTCCGTGCTCAATTGGATATTTAAGCGTAAGAATACCACGCTTAGACTGGGCTTCATCGCCTACATATGAATCTTTTTGACCCATACCGACCATTACACCTTGATGGCGAGGGCGACCAACAATGGATGGGAAAACCTAATTTATTTAATATTGATTAAAAATTAATACAATTTACTTTGCTTATATAAAGGTTAACATTCAAATCAACGAAATAATTTCAAATGTTATGTTTTATAACTCGATAAAAAAAAAACTATCCAATGGAATTACTCTTTTCTAGTAATAATCCATAAGATTCACCGATCCGATAATTAATACAAGAAAAGCATAAATTTCACTTACAGCGCGCGGTGCGTCGTCTCCAGCGAAACCTGCTTTGCACATACCGGAACCATTGTCAATGACAAGCTATTTTGTAATTGAGAGATGAAAAATTAGTTGCAAGTTATTTTAATAATTTAATCGAATAAAAGCTTTATGTCTAATTAAAATGTTTGTATTAGAGTGATAAGGCAATAACTATACAGATAGTTATTAAAGTATTTGTATTTATAAGAAATAAAGTAGAGTTATACATACAGCGGCAACTTCGTCTTCCATGGCTATTTATATGTTATGTTAGAGAAGATAGAAAAACCTATTATTGTAAAAGAATTGTTTTTTTTTAAAAAAAAAAAAGTTTTTTGGTTATTTTTTTTTTTTCATCGTAATTTTTGTTATAATAAAATACTATTACGCGATGATTATAACATCATAAACAGACTACAAGAACAGTTATATATACAAAATAAAAGCAAAAATGCTTGCTTTGAAGAAAACCGTTTGTAAGGAACTTACCTTTGTGCAAAAAAAAAAAAAAAAAAAAATGATTACAGCAATACGCTATGTTGTAAAAAGCGTTTGCTTAAAAAAAAAATTGGGGAAAGCTGTTGTAGAATTGGTGGGTGCCTGTGTGGGACAGATGGATGGTGCGTTCTTATAAGGATGCTTGCTGCCAGTGCTAGCAGCGGCCAACAGCTAGTGTTGCAAGACTCAAGAGCTCGTGCTACAATTAGGTATGATCAGATGTCATCATCAATAACAATAATAACAATAGAGATTTATTATCGTTATACTTGTAAGCCAAGAAACCTTGGATATTTTGATATATAACACCTTGGCAGTTGTAATTTGATCTTTATGGTATTATCAAAGATATTTTTTTTCTTCGCCAAAATATCGATGACAAAATCTTGGATTATCGTGATTTAATGAAGCGCAGCAAAATACTAGGCGACACTAATAGATCAGAGAATGAATAGAGTATTTCTTACAGAATTTGCCTAATTTTATATTAAAGTTCGTATATTAGCAATTCGGATTTCAAAATAACCTGTTTGACTTAGTTTAAATTGAATTCTGCCAATCTACTACTAATTTTCAAAATTTTTAATATAAAAAGAATATTAATAATTATTAAATAAAATGAAAATTTTATATATATTTTTTATAATTATATAAACTTTAATTTTCTAATTTAAAGCTATATATTCTATAAATTTATATATAATTTAATATATATTACATATTACATTAAAAATATATAATTTAAAGTATGAATTTATCTTTTTAATTTAAATTATAGTGAAAAAAAGGAATAAATAATCAGAATCATAAAAAATGTAAAAAATCAATAATTTGTGATTATAATTATTTAAATTTACTATTTGATTATTAAATATAAAGTATATATTAAATAGATATAATTTTAAATTTTATTTTATTTCTATATATTAAAATTATTTTGTTAACTTAAAGAAAAAATAATAAAATTTTATATAAATAAAATATATAAGATATTTAATTTGTATATTTTTAATGTTTTAATCTAGTTTTTTAATAAATTTTTATAAATATTATTAATATAGTCTATAAATTTAATAAAAAATTTTATTTTTTTAATTATTATTAAAATTTTTTATTAAAATAGTTTTTTATAATATTATATTTATAATTCAAATCATATTATAATTTAGAATTTTTAATTTATATATTAAAAGATTTTTTTTCAGTTAATAAAAAGATTGTAATATATAAAGTAAAATAAATTATATTTAATTATAATAATAAAATAAAATAATTTCAATTATTCTTTTATTAGTATTACAAATATAGATGAGAAATGAAATCCCTTAATAACAGTCAAAACTTAGATAAAACTATATTAAAATTATAATAAAGAATATGATAAAATCCTTTCAATACGACAAAAGCTAAAACTATTAAAACTATATTAAAAATATAGAAAAGGGTATAACAAAATTATTTTGAAAAGATTTCGGCAGGCATTTATAATTACAAATAATCTTTAATAAAAAAATTAAAAATTTAAACATATTTTATTATTTATCTTTTAGAAATATAAAAATTATTATGATTTAATAAGTTTTAATAAAATAAATTTAACAGACCAAATTTTTTTTTTTTTTTTGATTATTAAATAATAAATTATTTTAAAAATTTAAAATTGAAAATTTGATATATTAATTAGTGATATCAAACTAAACTATTTGATTATGATTAAACTTTTATTAAATTTTTGTATTTAACTAAATCTTTGATTAAAATCTAAATTTTTGACTAAATTTTTAGTAAATGACTAAATTTAAACTACTTTTATAATATTGTCAGCGTTGAAAATTTGCCTTAGAAAAATAATTTACAAAGGCATTAGATTTAATTTTATGTAGATCATATTAAGGAAGATCTTGATCGACGTATTGCATTAGAAAAT